TGTGCACGGAGGTGCAGGGACGTTCCTGGGCTACAGGATGAGGGGTGCCAGGGGTGGTGCTAGGTGGTACACCTGTAAAAGAAAGGGCTTTGTGTAGAAGGGCTGGCCCGGCCCGCTTGGCAGCTCTCCGCGGTGTTGTGTACAGGGGCCCGATATTGTTGCTTGTTTCTAGGTGCAGTGCTGTGTCCCCAGTGCACGTTCTCCGCAGAGAGGTGCCTGCAGCCAGCATGGCAAGAAGCAATGCTCTGGGCCCGATCCTGTGGCCCCGGTGCCATTTATGATCCCTGGAGGGTGCTGAGAAGTCTCCAAAAGCCCCGTCAGCCCCAGGGTTTGAGGAGAATAGGCAAGGAGGGCCTTAAAGCATCTCATCACTACGCGCTCTCAGGCCCTGGAAAGCACCTGTTCTTCCTCAGTGAAGCTTTTGTTGCTGCTTCTACGGGTGCCAAGCTGGGGGATGAGATGGGGCAAAGTGGGTAGCCTCTGGTGAGTACGGACACGTCTGGGAGGGTTGCGCAGGACTCCCCTGTGTGTGTGAGTGTGTGTTCGTGTGTGCAGAGCTACCTCTAGTGGCCGTGGAGCCCGGCCCTGCCACTGGGACTTCCAGTCAATCAGCCTTGTTCCCAATTACCGCCCCGGGTGGGTGCCTCTTGGCACGGGGCTGGGAGCAGTCTGCCTTATGCCCACTGACACTGAGCTCTGGGTCACCTCACTTATATTGATCTGGCATACGCAAGAGGGGGAACAGCTCTGTGTTTTCTTCAGGGCAAGAGAGAAATTGGGGAGGATGTGGTTTGTGCATTGCAGATGGGAGGGATGGGGAGGCTTCCTCACGTGCAGCTCAGCAGGCAGGATGGTGCCCCGACAGTCCCTGCCAACACCCTAAGCTGCCAGGCCCTGTTGTAGCATGGTGAGGTTTATTTTGTTGTAGCCTTCCGTGCTGTGTGCTACTCTGGCCATAACTGTTGGCCCAGACAATGCCACGTTCACAGCATGCTAGCATTAGCGATGTACATTTGTGCCACTAGGTAACCAGATACCATTATACAGACTCTATTCTATTAACGAGGGCTTCCCCCAGCCCCTGCCCTGCCCCCCAGCCTTCCCAAATCTCTTCTGGTCATGTCACTTTGTAGATGTAGTTTAAGGTTCAGAGCAACCTGTTTTCTTAGCATCTGCAAAGAAGTACCTGTGTGTTACTTGTAGCACAGCGGGATTATGAACAATGACTTTCATAAGGTGCTAGAAGGCACCACTATAAGCTAAATGTGGTATATCCAAGTGACTGTATTTCTAAACAGAACATAAAGCATTGCATGTTGTTAGCATCCTCTGAAGGACCAGCTTTAGGAAAAAGTGTGCAAGTAATGATTTTGCTTCAGTAATGGTCCATTTTTCTTTTCCTCCAGCTCTTATCTCTCATCAGTAAGTTCTTCGCCCTTCGTAAGTCCCCCAGACGGGACTTCCATCTTCTTTTGCCCAGGCAGAGTTATCGTGAAGAGGTGGTGTCTCTGAGGACTGCTCCGGCGAGAGGTGGCTCATCCTAGAGGTAAGCTCGTTTGCCACAGTCATGAAGGGTGAGAAGGAGTAGGGTGAGGTGGCAGCATAGCTAGTGGAGTAGTGAACATCTTCAAGAGGATGCAGAGGGTAGGACTGGGCTCCGGGGATGGCTGGGGTCCAACCTGAGCTTCGGTACGGGGAAATGCCTCCAGACTCGTGTGAGGAGAGGCAGCTGGCGCTAGCAGGCAGTGCTTGCAGAATGTCTGAGCACGCACTGTCCAACTGGCTGAGACTGTTGGGTGAGGTCTGCTCCCAGGGCTCTCTCTGCATGAAAGTGGGGAGAGAAGGCAAGAAAGACCCTTAAGAATAGAAGCTTGTCCTGGAGGTAATGGCATATCTAGGTTGGCTTCACCAAGCCAAGATATCCCTACAGCCTAGCTGGGAACACTCACAAGGGTTTCTGTTGCTCTGGGGCAGTATTTGGTGTTAAGTCTGTTGAAAGGAAACATCCATGCTGTCAGTAGTGAACAAGGCCTGGAACAGGCTTGTGGTGGGACTGACTAGCCCTGACCCCGCAGGGCCCAGGATGTGAATGGAGCCAGCTCCTGGGAAGCAGCAAGGATAAGGATAGGCCAACAAAGGATGTTTCTGGAAACTTAAGGAGCTTAATGGAGTAGTTGTTTTGGGGAACAGGGATGGTAGTTAATTTAGGAGCTGGTCTCCAACAAGAAGAGGGGATAATTAGACGGGAATAAAGAGAAAAACCATTCCCGCCTCAGTTCTGTTCCATCTGCTGTGGTTGCCTCCTGTGACAGCCACATCCTTCCCACGTGAGTCCCCCTGGCATCCCCAGCTTTAAATTGGGTGATCTTTCATTGGGTGGCTGAGAACTGTAGACTCACTCACTAGTAGGAAGTGCGCTGTGTCATTAGAGAAGGATGGCAGGAGAGGGGGCACAGAAGAAGGGCTGAAGAAGGAGCTGGTACCAGCTGTGAGGGCAGTAGCACGGTAATCCCCATATTGGTCGGTGAGATACGGGTCTGGAAGTGCCGGGTAGCCCTGAGTGGCGGAGGAATCGCATGAGAAGGGCTTGGACCCTAGAGGGGACGAGTAGACATCACTGACAAACTGCTTTGTGTTGTGGACATCCAATTCGGTTGTGAAGGATCTCCTGGCGCCGTGGTAGTAACTGGCTGTGGTAGGTGAGCCTGTGGTGGTCAGAAAAAAGGGTTGGCTAAAGGGAAAGTTAACAGCAACGCCTGGGGAGCCACGGAGCTATGGGCATCTCTGCAGGTACAAAGTAGAGCCCTTTTCTCTCTAGCATTGCCCAGGGCAGGCGTCAATCCTGTCTTGAAACAGGTGTGTCAGCCCAAGTGCTTTTAGCACCTCCAACCGCCCTGATCCAGCTGATGACCTCCCCCTGCAGCACATGAGGCCAGTGGGATGGAGGTTAGTTTTGCCAGCCTTTGCTGCTTCTTTGCTCTGCTACAGCCCCTGGGAAGGAGGATGGGGTTACAGCTGCAAAGCCACCTGCGTCTGTTCCAGCCTCACTCCCTTTTCCCTGCCCAAGAGCTCAAGGGACAAAACAGGTCAGTTCCTGGTTTCGTACTTTCTCTCTTCAGCTGCAGGAAAAACTGGAAAATGCAGGGGGAAAAGAAGAGGTTCTGTGTAGCACCTCTGTCAAAAGAGGTGGGAACTGCTTTTATTGCCTGGCTTTCCCCTCTTTAGGAATTTCATACAGGCTACAGGGGCCTTTCTTTTACTATTGCTGTTCCTGTTTTGACTCTTTTGATTACTTTCCTCCTGGGCTCTCTCTGAGGGGTGGCCCAGAGGAGCTGGAGCTCCAATGCTCCTTTGCTCACCTCATGTTCTTTGGAGGAGAATAGGCAGGAGCAGTGTCAACTGTCCAGCCTGCACAGAAAGTATTTATTGGTGGAGGAAAACCTCACCTGGCATTTGGACAGCTGATGACTGTGGTGTGCTGGTGCTGCCCTGCAAAAGATAAAAACATGTTAAAATAAAGTCTTTTCAAAACAAGGCAGCTCTCTAAGCACATAGCTTTGGAAGGTGTTGGCATAATTCAGATGCACTCTTTGTGCCTTGGTGCTATCAGTATGAAGAGCTTAAGTACCAGATTTCAAGCCTGGGGCCTCTGAGGTATTAGCAGATATAGGCTAAGAAGAGATTTTGAAAGTCTTACGTGGAGTTGATAGCAGTAGAAATATCAAGATAACTGGCTGCTTTCTCATGTACTGCAAGGCCCCTTAATGAGCAGTCATTTTGATCTTGGCCCCAAACAGGTCTCAATAAACTGGTATCTAAGTCTTTGGTGGTCTAAACAGAGAGATTGTTCGCTGCCCGTGTTCTAGCTCAGGTCTCCTGTGCTGTGTCTACCTGCCACAGAGCTGCTTTAGCTGGTCCCTCCTAGCAGAACAAGCAGACTGCGTGTAGAAGGCAGTTGTTTCCAGCCCCTACTTGGCTTCTACAGCAATACTGATAATACTAATCTCCTCTTGGTCCCCAGGTAAGAAAGAATTAGCCCTGAGTGAACCTGGCGCTCACAGTGGCTAATTCCTTACAAAGTACTGTGGCAAAGGCATCTGTTCCTCTGGAGCAGAGCTCGTACGTGGAGTTTCGTTGAGTTCTGTCTCTAGACCTCCAAACCCATAGACCAGAAATACAGCGCCCGCAGTTGCGTTTACCTCAGCTGTGCTGTTGTCCTGGCCAGTGATGGTGGCATGCTATTTTCAGTTTGCATACTGTAAACAGGAGGTTCCTGCCATAGCAAGCAACCAAATTTAGAGGTTTAGATTTGAATTAAATTTGCCAGTGCTAGGACTTCCTTTTGCTGCTGAGGGAGGTTTGCAGCTGCTCCCTGCTCCATCATGAAAATGAGTTCTGAGCCCACACAAGTCACATGGGCTGCAGGAGTGATGGGAGGTGTCAGGAAGGAGCCCTTTGGCTTGCGGGCAGATGAGAGTGTTCACGTTGCAGGGTCAGAGCCGGGGCTTGCACCTGTCTCCAGCTGGGCCGTTTTTGGCCGCAGACCTCAGTGAGGGTCGCAGCTCGTAACGCACACTGCCCTGCAAAGCTAAAGCCTCCACATGCAAATCTCATCTCAGCAGATACCCCTCTCTCAGCATGCATGTCACTTTAGTCATACCTTCTCCCGCTTCAGGATTTCCCCCCCCACACCTCCTCTGCCTGCCCGTGGCCGTAGTATCCTCCAGTCAGTCTGCGTTTGCTGAGGAGGAGTCTCTTTGAAAGTAATGGTGCAGACCTCTGACCTCTGCACTCGTGTTCAGACCCCAGCCTTAACGCCCCACCGGGAAGTAGTTTAGTACTGTTGTTTGGCACCCCTAATACTGTGTTTGAGGAAGAAGTTGAGTTAGGAGGTCCAGGTAGCACAGATGCTGCTACAGGTCAAAGGACTGCAGTGACGAGAGCTGGGATGCTTCACTGGAGAGACAGGAAGGTCCCTGGGCACAGCTGCCAGCCTCTAGTATGGAGGATTTCAAATTATCAGTGCATCTAAATTAGTCTTTTATCCTTTCTGTTCAACAGCCGCTGAAACTATCTGGCTGTGTGTGACAGGCAGCAGGTCTTCTTGAACACACCTATGATAGATAGCTACAGAGCTGATGTTAGCTGCAAGGGCCTTACCTGCCTTAATTCAACTGCAAGAGCCTCTGCAGCAGCCCATTTTTGGCCTTCATCATAGCAGGCACTTGCATACTTGCAGAGACCTACATTTTACTCGCTTCAGGCAACAAATGGCTCTGCTTAATTTAAGCCCATTAGTTCATTTCCTCCCTGCATTACTTCCTTTCAGTGCTGTGGGGCTGGGGTAGCTGGATCTTCTGCGACATGTCAGTGTGCCTGTTTAGCATCACTTGAGCCCGCAGCATGTTCAGCTGTTGATGAGCTTGGTCTCAGCCTGCCTTACACATGACCGGGCAGACATACTGGCTGGGGGTACTCCAGAGAGCTGTGCTGCTTTGCTGCCTTGGTAACCCAGGAGCACTGTTCAGCTACAAGGCTGCCTTGGGGGGAGTAAATGTAAGAATCCAGGTCAAAATAATGACCTGGTCCTGCAGTGGGGACCAAAGGTGCCCTTTGACCATACTTTGGCTTCAGTGTATCTCCTCTCTGGGACCAATCTGTAGTACAGCAGCTGAAGTAATAAAAACTAATCACAAAAGCAAAGCTTAGTCTTGGGCAGGGCACCTCGCTGGTTTGCCGACGGCAAGTTTGCTCAATGATCTGTCCCTGGCCTCTGAGTGCTGCTGGGCATAGTGCTTCATCTCTGTAACTACCAGTTCCCCCCCGAGAAAAGAGGGTAATCCTTTTGTCCTGCGGAGAGTAGCTGCTGGTTCGCGCCTATGCGGTGGATGAGCCAAAGGAAAAAATGTCAGGCCCTTGATAAAGCCCTTCTGCCCTGCCGTTGGTGGGGACTCAGAAGCCCAAATTGTATTGTTTTCGTCACAGTACGTACTGGTTTCCTAATGTTTGATGCGTGCAAGGCCTGGCTGTCGTGAAATTGTTGCTGTTCTGCTGCCTGAGTAAAGAGCCTAGCAGCTCACCTCTGATGGGCAATGACCTTTCCTTAGCACTGCAGATCTCCTCCATAGACCTCCCCTTGCACAACAAAGGCTTACTGATTTTGGAGCAAAGATCATGTTCAAACAAAAGATGCAGCTAAATTACACTGCATCATAAATATACAAAGGGGTGTTCAGTTATCTGCCGTTTGCTTTGATTCTAGATTATATTACGTCAGATAACCAGAGCTGCGCTTACAGATGTTCTTTTCATGATATGTTCGAGTAAATACGGATGTTTGCCCTGCACAATAATTTTTTGTCTCTCACAGAGAATTAGCAACAGGACTGATTTTGCATTAGATAGACACACAACTGCTAAGCTTTGGAATACAAAGCAAAGGGCAATAAAGCAACCAGCAAGTATTTTACAGTTCCTACAGCTTTTGATTGCAGCCATTGAAGCTGCTGCCTCCAGAAAGGGTGCAGGTAAAGCATGATAGGCATCAACAAGAATCTGTTTTCTCAGTGAGTGCAAACACAGCACTTGCTTCCTGCTGCTCCCCAAAGCAAACTTCCCAAATGCCTGGCTGGTGGGAGCATGTGTTTCCCAGTGACTGTCCATGGCTCACGGGGTCTTCTGCCTTTCTGCGTTAGCTGAAGGCTGTGAAGAGATCTATGGCTAGATCTTGCTTTGTTTGGTGATGCTCATGCTGGTTTTCTGCCTGTTTTGTAACACAGTTAACAAGCATGAAAGTAACAGTGAGAAAAATACTTGCAAGTCCCTTTGAGGTCTCTTGGTTTTGCTAAAGGCAAAAAACCTGAGGCAAATGGCTTGAGGGGGGAAAGAGCATCAAAACTCTTTATATATGTATTCTGCTGCCAGTAATTCAGCTCTCTGCTCCCACTTTTTCCTTCCAGGACACAGTTTCAGCAGCTTGACTGCATCTCCTCATCTATCAGTGGCTCCACTGCTCCCAGTCAGCCTGGAAGTGAAGTGCTGCTGCTTGGAAAAGGTGAGTCTGGAGAGCACACGGGAAATGGCTTAATATGCCACTGGATGTGCTGGCACCTGCAATATTGTGTCCCTTTCTGGGACAGCATTGCTTTTATGGCTAGTAATTGAGAAAAAACAATGTAGTGTACTATAATTTGACTTAGGTTTCCGGTTGCCATAGAACCACTTTAAGAAGAAATCATCTCTTACAAACTGATGCTTGGCTTCTTTCCAGACCATAACATCACTGTATTTCCACTGGCATTCTAGTATGCTAGAGAGGAGCTAGAAGGAGCACAACATTCAGGGAAGAACATCTATTTTTGTGGCACCAAGTTATGTAGCTAGTGAAAAAGGAATGAGAAATTTAGCATTACTGATTTGCTTTTTTTTTAAAAAAAAAAACAAAAACCCACTTTAATCCCTCAAAGGTTCACTGATGTAAAAAATCAAGGAGCCATCTGTGAGCTTTTGGGGCAAACACTAGTGTTGCAAATGTTTTTGCTATTTTCTGTCAATATTGGCAGTGCCCTGAATTCAACATAAATGCTTTTTAAACAAGAGGATTACATGACATGACTTTTCTGGTTTTAAAAAAAAAAAAACAAAAAACAAAAGGGAGGTGGAATGGGTTGAAAGTGACTTACACTGAAGCGGGAGCCACTGCTCT